CAGCTCATATAACTCCAGTACTAACACAAAGCATTTTTGTTTACTTAATTTGCAATTAAGGACTCATAGATATCTTTCAAACCTTCCTAAGACAATACAATACTAGATTAAAAAGAACATATTTTTCTGTAATAGCATAACTTCATTTACCATGCAAGGGCACTAAGAGTGGTCTTGTCATTCTTTAAAGACTATTAAGCAGAGTTTTAAGAAACTTACTTCTGCTTAACTGGCTCACACACAACGCTGTGTACTGACCAGTCTCTCTTCTGGCAATCCACAGAGCAATAGTATATTTGTTTACATTGTGAACATCTGAGGGATCCTGAAAAAAAAAGAAAAATTAAGTCACAGAGAAACAGCAACACAGGAAGAGACAGCAGCTGTTATACACAAACTCCATACAGCACTTAGTAACTGCTCTATGAGCAGTTGAAGCAGATACAAATAGTCGTTTTTATTCCTCTGTATTCCTCAGAGGAATCAGCCCATAGCTCCAGATTCCTTCTGTACTTAAGAAAAAACCAAAACATTTTTGATTAAGAAAGAGATGCTGTCTTCAGTTTTGTCAGTTCCACAACACCGTGTTCTGAAGTCACTACATTTGCATCTGATACAAAACACACATCCATTTTAAGGCATTTCTGAATAATCCTTCTAAATAATCCTCCAATTCCACAGCAAATGCACTATACATCACAGAGTAGAGAATAGCAGAACTTACCAGACAGACCACAATGATGGCAAGTTCTCATCTGAGGAGGTGGGGTGAGCGTATTAAAGAGACTCTTATCATAGTCAATAGAAAACACATTCTTAGAAGAATATTGTGACTTCTTTGGCTTCTCAACTGAATTAGAGTGCGGTACCTACAAAAAAATAAAACCAAGTAAGTAAATCTCAAGTGATTCTTATCAGAAAAAGCAGCCCAGTTGGATGTAAGTATTCTAACGTATCAAAATTTGACAACAGAAAAAATTTCGAAGTTTTAGAAAAAGACACCACTTCTGCTGATCACTCATGCTGACCATTCATGCTGTCTAGAAATGCTCAGAATACTTAAGGCAATTATCAAGAGCAGTAACTCACCATTTCTCCATTATCAGTTGCCTCTGTCAGTGGCAACTTTCTTCTAATGGCTGCGCTTTCCATGGAACTTCCTAGGAACAGAAGCATTTGCAAAGTGATCTGACAACGTAAATGCCTGCCTGTGTTATGGACTATTTACAGAAAAACAAAACCATTCTCTGTTCTTACTATTCTGCTAGTGCATTCAGTGGAGATACTACAGGAATATTACCCACTCTGAAGTCATTTTTCTTGCTACTGAAAATATGATCAGTGGCATAGTTAGAGCAACAGCTTCACTGCTAATCCTCCATCAAGCCAACATAAAGCTTACTTGGCCCTCTTTCCATCCTGAAGCAAATTAATCACTCTTGCCTAATGTGGAACCATATATAACAAAGTCTCCAGAGGGCTGCTTACCAAGCTAGCTCAGATCTCCCAGAATTAATTTTACTCTGCCACTTGGAATAACTGAGAGTATTGATCAGAGGTTGGTGAAGGAAAAAAAGAAAAAAAGAAAAAAAGAAAAAAAAAAAAAAAAAAAAAGTACTACTGAAAAAATTCCAACTCCACTGCATGCAGAGTATAGTCACCAGTACTCCAAATATTGTTGGTTTTTTTTTTTTTTTCCTAGTTATTTAAAGCATCCCCGGTGACCCAAGTCTAGAACAATTCACAACAATTCACAGAATCACAGAATTGTAGGGGTTGGAATGAACCTCTAGAGATTATAGAGTCCAACCCCTCTTGCCAAAGCAGGTTCCCTACAGATGGTGGCACAGGAAGGCATTCAGACAGGTCTCAAATATCTCTGGAGAACAAGACTCAATAATGCCTCTAGGCAGCTTGTTTTTTCAGTGCTCTGTCATTCTCACAGTAACTTAGGAGTTGTGTTTACAAGCCACATTCATATTGGTAATCTGCATAATGATCAAGTCTATACACAACTACAGAAGAACAAAATTAAAATACATATGGATAAAATCAATTTTTTATTGCAGTTATTCATTCCCATGCTGCAATATAAGGTAACAAAGACGATTAAGGGCCTGGAGAATCTCCCATGTGGAAAGGCTGAGGGACCTGGGACTGTTCAGCCTTGAGAAGACTCAGAGGAGATCTCATCAACACATATCTAAAGTGTAGAAGTGAAATCGATGAGGCTGGGCTCTTTTCAGTGACGTGCAGCGACAGGACAAAAGGCAGTGGGAAGAAACTTGGAACACATCAAATTCTTTACTGCAAGGGTGACAGAGCAAGCTCAGAGGGGCAGTGAAGTCTCCTTGTCTGGAGATATCTATGACCCCCTTTGGTCACTTTCCTGCTCTCAAGCTGAAGTAGGGAAGCTACTTTAGCAGAGGAGTTGGACTTGATCTTCAGAGCTCCCTTCCATCCCTTATGACTCTATGACTGCCATCAGTGGGAAAAAGTATTATTTGCAAACAAAACACTGATTTTTGTTAGATATTTCACAGGGTCAGCCTCCCAGCTGAGAGAGGAGCTCCTCAGAAGGCTGACATTCTCAATCCTCACCGACACCTCGTTACCTGCATCCTTCACAGGCAGTGCCTGGGCCATGCTGCCGATGATCCCCTCGACGCAGGACAAGCGGGCTGCAGCTGCAGGAGCACAGATTTCAATAAACAAATAAATAAATTCAGGCACGTATTAAAGTCACAATCTAAAGTTAAGACTAAACATCACTTTAGAAAGGACAACCTGAAGATAGGACCTGAAGCCTATGGAACTGCGGAAGCTCTCTCAGGAGGAGCTCGCTCCAACCAGCCACAGCCGCTATATATGCACCAGCTCTCAGGGCCTCGCAAACCTCGCCGCTCCGCTCCCTCCCTCCCTCCGCACCGCTGAGCGCCGCGCCACACACCCCGCCCCCGGAAGTAATGGCGCTCCGCGGGGCGGGACGCGCGCACTGCCCGCCAGGCTTGGGCAGGGCCGGCCGGTGTGCGCAGTGCGTGTGCGGGAGGTGGCTGCGAGGTGTGCGAAGAAACTCGGTGCGAGGGGTCAATAAGTGTCTGTTATCAGGCGTTTGAGTTTTGGGTAAAGGGATCGCAGCAAAGGCTGGAGGTCTCTGTGACTTAAAATGTCTCCGTTTTTGTTGGCTGATCACTTCCATCCCCGAGAATGAATCAAAACAGTTCCGCCAGTGTGCACTGCCATGTATGTAATCGCATTGTGGAATTATAGAATGGCCTGGGTTGAAAAGGACCACGGTGCCCACCTAGTTTCATTACCCCTGCTGTGTGCAGGGTCTCCAACCACCGGACCAGGCTGCCACATCCAGTCTTTGGGAACAACGCTAATTAATGATACAGAATATTGGCAGGAAAAGATGCAACCAAAGGAGGATGGAGTGTCCTGCTGGGAACAGAACTTCAGCAGCATGTGAGCTGGCATGAAGCTTTCTTGCTGTGAAAAGTTTCAAAGAACGATTGAGCCTCAGCAGACCAGAAAGGGCAGGAACTGGCAGCAGAAACTATTTTTAAATGGAGAAACATCAGGCCTGGCTTCTGCAGTGGGAAAAGGTAAATGGGAAGAAGGCTGATTGGGAGCGGCAGGAGGTCAATGCAGCTTTGCCTACAACTCGTCAGGGCCTGCGTGAAGGTTTTGTAATATGGTAGCAGGTGTAATTAGCTCTAATGTATGGTATCCAAGGGCTTTGGAAGTAGCTGGAGCACCGCTATGCCGCATGCTGAACAAAGGACGGTCTAAACAACATGTCATGGAAATAGCTTTTTTCTGGTACGAGTTACTCAGAGCAGTTGTGTAATTACAGGAGTGAATGATATCCTGTGTAAATCAGACACACCAGGAGAAGCCAGGCTGCAGCACCAGCACCATGCCCATTTCCTGATGTGCCCCAAAGACTCGCAGCAAGCCCGAGAATAAAATAGTTACTTAATGAAAGCAATTCTTAATGAACAAAATAATAACTCTTTATGCAACCTTGCCATTATGTGGAATTGCATCAGCTTGAAGTAATAACATTACAACAGGCTGTCCTGCTGATAGATGCAGAGCAAGGGAGCCAGGCAGTGCTGCCCTTGCTCCCAGCTATATCCCCCCATCTGAGCTTGCAGCACATTTTATTTCCACCTGTTTGTTCTTGTAACCCCTCAAAGTGGGGATGCTGCCACTTGCCACACCTGAAGCTGAGAACATAGGAAGGATTGCAAGCCCCTGTGGTGGACAGAGCTATGAAGATGCTGTGTATAGTTAACAAATTCCAGCTAGAAACTGGGAAATTACATCAACACTTTTATTTTCTTAGACAAAAGAGCCCAAAGCTCCAACTGCAACCTTTTGGAAAACCAGGGCACATTCTACTGCTGCCTCTGCAATGCAGAGCTGATGCCTGCAGCGCAGGCTGAGGTGTATGACAGTGCTTTAGGTGAGTTCCCTCACTCAGAAATTGCCTTTCATCCCATCTGTGCTTGCCGAATAGGAGCTGCTGCTGGCTCACCAAGAGCAAAGCTAATTCAATCATTCCCATTTAATTTGCAGCACTTCAGGGAAGGCTCACTGTGCCGCTGCCGTTATCTTTCCTGAGTATCTGCAGCTGCTCCTGGGGGTACGGCAGCGTTGAGACGGAAATTTGGCATAAGTTTGGTATTCTGAGAGAGGCAGAACGGCCTGAGGCACAGCGCTGGGGCTGCGGGGAGCCGAGGAGGAAGAGCCCTTCTCGTCTGCCTGAGGGAGAGCTACGCTGAGGAGCCATATAAGGAACGCCGGTGGGGCTGCGGGCAAAGCGATGTTCGCTTTAAACTTTTCACTACTCCATGGGAGGCTCGCGCACGCTTGAGCACCCCCACCTCTCCAGCTCCCGCCCAGCCCTCACCTGCCACCTGCGCGCCCCCGCGCACCCCTGCGCGCTCCCGCGGCCCCACCCCCCCGTAGCCCCGCCCCCCTCGGGTCCCTCCGTCGCGTCGCCCGCCGCCATCTTTGTTGATGTGTCAGGCGGCCGGGCTGCGCGGCCATGGGGCGGTTGGCGTGTTCTCTGTCCGCCTCGTAGCGAACGGTGAGCGCCCTGCGCGGGGCGGGCCGCGGCGGAGAGGCGGGTGAGTTGGGAACGGGGTGCCCGCGTGCCGCCGGCTCTCGGCCCCGCTGCGTTCTGAGAGTCTGTAGAGCGGGCCGGGTGAGGCGGCGCGGCTCAGCGCTCGGGGGCCGCCGGTGCCCGCGGGTCTCGCGGCGGCTTCCTGGAGGCAGGCGAGGGCACTGAGGGAGGCCGGGGAGGCGACGCCGGTGCGGGGCGGTCAGCGTTGCGCCCGCTGAGCCGGGGCTTCCCTGTCCGCCTGCTGAGCGGGCCGGGAGCCGCTTTGTCTCTTGACAGCTTTCTTCGTGCTGCTAATTAGGTCGTGCCGTCTGGTTCTGCGGTGTTCTGTGATTTCGCTGTGCGGTTACGAAGATCAGCGGCTGGTGCGCTAGCAGGAAGGTCGTGTTCCAGAGCCGCTGCAGCGCTGCGGTCCTGTCGTTGTTTCTGCAGGTGGCATTTGCGGGAGCTGCTTGTCCTTCTGGGTTTGGAAGCTGGAAGCTTTGCTGTGACTTCGAGATGGTCACGGTGTTGGAATGTGGGATTGGGCTTACATCCTGCCTAACAACCTGCCGGGGTGGGTCTGATAGAGGTGCGCTTGCAGGGAGGTTGTGCAGAGCAGGACAGGATCTCATGTAAGACTGAGATCTGTATGTAAGGTGGGAAATGTAATAGTGTGCCTGTATTGTAGGTTGACTGTGTGTTGTAAAGTTGGTTTTCAGGACTTAAAATGTGACAATCGGCGCATTGAGAAATCCACGTGACTGCCGTGGCTTGCTGTGTAAGGTTACAGCTGAAACAGCATGAAAGGCAGCTGTATTTTTATATTGAAAAGGAAAGGTAATCACTCTAATTACCAACTCCTGGGAGTGCTTATGTTGCTGTTCACTTTAGAGGTGGTTGAGCTCTGAAAGCATAAGAAACTGGAATTCTGAGGGCGCTTCATGAGGCGGTCCAACCCAAGAGGTGGTATTTATAATGGTATTTATAATGCCATCTATTTCATAAAAAAAAGTAAACTTGGACTGTATTGCCTTTGAGTTCTTCTCTTTCTGAAATCCTTCAGTTGTCCTTTCTTGGCTTTAAAACAATATTTTCTATTGGTTTGAAAGGCTTACTTGATTTAGAATTGTTGACAGATATTTATTGGTATGGTTAGATTTGCTCTTTCAAAGCATTGAGAAGAGGACCGAGAAATCAAAGAATACAGAGGATGGTTTTTTTGGTCCTGATATTTATGTTGCTTATCACTGCCTTAGGCTAATATTGAACTTCCTCAAGCTGACTTTTTAAAGAGCTGTGAAAAAATAGTAAACTTTTTTATGGATACCCGATTGCTGTTAGGCAAAAGGCAATATGCTGAATGACTAGTCTGCAGTTTTTGTTAATATCTGGGCTCCAACAGTTGATGACGTCCTATACTTTGTTCTGTTTTGGCTTCTTCAGAATGTATTTTTCTCTGCAAAAAACAATATTGGAAAGCCTACTGGATAATTTATCTTCAAACCATAGACTGAGACTCTGCTGCCTCAAATGAAAGCAAAAAAATCTCCTTAGAAACAAACCAGCCTCTGAAGATTGGAAATGCAGGAGAAATCACAGTCCTGACTTCAGGAAGTGTATGAAGTATTGTAGATAATAGTTCCTCTCATATTAATTATCAGAAGTTCATTCTTTCTAGAGCAAATGGTTGATTCATTCAGATTTTTGAAGACTTCCTTATTTCTGTTTGTCTGTTTGTTTTTCCCTCAGGGATGCTGGAGAAACTCTGCAAGATCAGATTTGGAAACAGTAGTGCCTTACCATCCTCATGAGTGGTGTTTTTCAGTATGCAGAGGTCAGGCAGATGGTAACGCTGTGGTTGGTTGTGTTCTGGAGATGCCCTTTGAAAATAGCCATGGATTGCAAATGTACTGGCACCTTTGGTGCCCAGCAAGCTAAGACCAGTATCTTGTGTGACACTACAGTTTTGTAAGGTGTGCCAGTGTCTAATTTGTACCTTACAGAAAAGGCTTAGTACTCAGTGTACAAAGGAGAAGCCCTGTCATAGAACGTGTGCTTTGTCTATGTTGTGATTTCAGTCATAATTTGCATTTCTTTCCTTCCCTTAATGCACTCTGTGTTGCATAAATGATGATATCAGTGTCAGAATGTGAATGCAGACATGACAGCGATAATAACTAGCTGGCTGCTAACTTAGCCTTGTTCTGAACAGAGTTGAAGGCGTGATGCTAAACCTCTTGCAAGGTTATCGAGGCGCTGTGTCTGGTACTGCCTTTGTTGCTGAGTGCTGTAGGTGAGACTAGTTGGCTTGGAAGAGTTATGTACTGAAAAACAAGTGACAGAAGATTACAAGTCTGTGCGTAATCCTTTAATTATTGAAGTTTTATTTGTAGTTTCAGGTAGAAGGAGCCTGTTAGTAAATGTTTTTCCCTGAGACACGGGCTTCTAACCTTGTGTCTAGTATGTGAAACAACCAAAAACCTCAGCCCCTCAGCATACCCAATGATTTGTGTTATAATGGGGAACAAATCCAGTCCCGCTTGTTAAAGCTTAACAGGTAAACTTTATTTTAGAGTTGTGCTGTTACTTGGTTCTGAACATGGAGTTAATGTGACCATGATATTAACCACTTGAAAGAGATCAAGTGAAAAACCTAGCAGTACCTTGAAGGAATTCATTCAATGCTCAACTACTTAACTGGTGACTTAAGCAAAGTTGAAATATGAGTAATCCTTGTACTTGACTCATGCCAAAAGAATTGGTGGTGATACTGAGCTTTGTACTTTGACACTGCCTTGGGGCCACACAATCAGCATTTATATAAAGATCTGAAGAAACATAATTGAGCTTAAGTATTAAACTAATAAAAGCAGTGAAATCTAGAGAGTATCCACTGTGTATACACACGCATCTGCTTCTCTCTCTCTCCAGGAATGTAAATCAAAGCAAGTCTTTGTGTGAGCTGCAGCAGGGAGCTGTGTAAAGTTACTCAGTGTTCCAGCACAGTCAGCTTTGCTGCTTCTACAGTGAATCACACAAATCCTGTCTCCATTGGAGTCCTCTAGCTTTTCAGTGTAGATGGGACCGTTGTTACATCTTCCCTCTCAGCACTATTGGCTGATACCTCATTGAGTCCTGTGTATTTTGCTCAATTTAGAACCAGTATCTTGTATTAGGTCTAGGGTGAAAGTAAATTAATGGTGAGGGAGTCCAGTACAGGTGGGACTCAGATGTTTTCTTCTGTTTGCTACATGGTACACTGTTGGCCTTCCTGTGTTTTGGTTGCACAGGACTTCATGGCAATCCTCTGTCAGTTCTGTGTGGTAAGCAGGCGGTGTTGGTGAACATCATCTCTCCTAAAGCTGTTCAGTTTCTGGCTTTCTCTTAAATATTTTGATGTTTTTTCAACTCTATTCCTTATTCTGCTATTTCATCACTTCTGAAACTGGGTGGCATGCTGTTTTGCTTATGTAACTAAGAGAACAGGTGGCTTTTTTTTTGGCTTTGAGTTTATGTCAGTTGCTAGTTTGTGAAATGTCTGGCCTTGTGCACCTTTCCATCCCTGTCCCTTTTGATTTAGCTGAATTGCATAGTGAAGGAGGTAAGTTTCTCTTACTTCAGTTTGCCACGAGTTCAGAAACCAGTACAGATAGGGAAGGTTAGTGAGTTTTACAGGCCATTTGAGGAAACTAAATGTTTAAGGGTGTTTACCCAGATTTTTATGGTGAATCTCCAGTGGAGATTACTTTGGTGTGATAACATCTAGAAAAGCACAATAAATAACAGCAGCAATTGGTCCAGTGCAGAGCTTGAGAAAGGACTGAGAAATAATGATTTCAAATTACAATGTAGAGATAATTGCTGTGAAGCGAGTTGAAGGGGGGAACAGTTCTATAGATAGGTGTTTTCCTTTAAATATACTGACTTTCTTTAGAGGTGTCATTGTTTATTTGGTTTACAGTAGAAGCTGCAGTGGCACTGTGACTATATTCATGCTGAGGTGACATCCGTCCTGAGATTCCTACCTTTGGCAATGTGAGCTTCTTGTGTCAGTGGCACCAGACTTTTCTGTTGCTTATCCATTTGCCTGGCCTGATCATGGTACTTCATACCCTGCTGACTCTTGGCATCATCTGCTCATGAGCCATGGAATGCTTAATCACTTCTCCCCTTGTTCCCCACCTACACTCTGAAATGTACCGCTGCAGCTTTGGGTCATTAGTCTTCAGTCCATTGCTTAAAGGAAGTCTGAGTGCTCTGTTGTGACAGATATGAAATGAAGATAGTTTTGTAAATTCAGGTTATGCTTCTGCTTAAAAATAAGCTTTTTTCTAATATTATGGGACTTTGAATGCTCTTCAGGTTTCCAGAAGTGGAGAGCCCATGTGGTCGTGGCTAATGATGTGAGAACTGTGGCTTTGTGATTTATTTTTTAAAATTGTGTGCATGCTCATTTGGTGGAGAGGAGGTGATGCTGTCTTTGCAAGTGGCTCTGCTACAGGGTCTCATAGCACAGCTATGGGGGAAAGCATCTATCCAAACATGATGCAGACCCTTTATTGTCGAAAGGAACTGGTGTAATTGATTGCAGCTGACCTTATATTGTCTGATGGGTGGTTGAGTATGTCTGCTGTTCAGTAAACGACATTTATCATATTAACTTCTTGCTAACAGAATGTTTACTCCTCATTCAGAAGCTTATATGCCTCAGTGTCACCTACCTCAATACTTTTCACTCTTTTAAAATCCACTCTGCTTTGAACAAATCTTTGTTAAATGTGTGCACTCCAGAAGCATTGCTCCTTCCCTCGCTTTCTTGTCCCCCTTTCTTGACTGTGTAGCTCTGCTTTGTGGCCTGAATATGTTCTCTTTCTGTTCCAGCAGTGATTTTTATCTTGTGGGACCTTCACAGCCAGTCTGTTTGCTTACAATACCACCCTAGGCACACACTTCTGTCCTTCTTTGCTCTATTTCTGGTAAAAGTCCAAATGTGGCAGTTCCCAGATGACAAGATACAGTTCTTTT